CAACACTGCACCTTTATGTGCCTTTTCTTGCTTGGAGAATTGTGTGTCTTTCTCCCCCCCCCCCACGCCCCCATGAACACAATCTCTCTTTGCACGCGCATCAGTCCACAAACACACCTTGCGGTTTGCTAATTCCAGAGGCTCGGGGTGGACACGGAGGGTGGGGGGGGCTTCTCCCCCACCCCCTCCCCCTTTGCTGGTTGGGGTCGATGCTTGTTTGAAGAGCGCCTGGAAAACCTCCCGAGTTGACGGGCGGTCCTCGACTTAACAACGGAGCCCCGGATTTCTGACATTGGTTGAGTTGAGTTTTTTCTCCCCGTTTTACGGCTTTTCTTGGCCCACGGCAACGGTCGTAAGTATGAGTCCGTTGCCAAGCCTCTGGGTTTTGATCACGTGACCACGGGGGGAAACGCCGCCGTGAAAAGGGTCACGGGTCCCTTTTTCCAGCGCCGTCGCAAGTCTGAACGGCCGCTAAACGGACCGTCGTACCAGCTGTGCCTTGTGCAAGGTGTTTGACAACATCCTTTTCTTCAAACTGGTGCCCTTCCAGGCATAAGGATTGGATTATTTTTGGAATGGCACAGGTAGTCCTCGCTTTACGACCACAGTTGAGCCCCAGATTTCCTTGGCTTGAGTAAGACAGTTTGTCAAGGGAGTTTTGCCCCGTTTTATGACCTTCCTTGCCCCCGTTGTTAAGTGAATCACTTAACGTTGTAAAATGAGTCATGAGGTCGTTAAATGAATCTGGCTTCCCCTTCCCCCCTTGACTCTGTCAGTAGGTTGCAAAAGGGGATCACGTAATCCCGGGATGCTGAAACTGTCATAAGTATGAACCAGTGGTCAAGTGTCTGAATTTTGATGATGTGACCCCGGGGACGCTGCAAGGGTTGCGAGTGTGAAAAGTGGTCCTAAGTCCCTTTTTTCCAGTGCCATTGTAAGTTTGAACGGTCACTAAATGGACTGTTGTAAGTTGAGGACTACCTGTGTGAGAAACAGATTGGGAGAGTGGACAAGGATACTGCTAGGGAGAAGAAAAAAAGGGAAGAGAGGAGAGGAGGGAAGGGGAGAGGAGAAGATGAGAGAAGGAGAAGAGAAAGGGAAGAGGAGAAAAGGAAAGGAAAAGAAGGAAAGAAAGAAGTGGAAGGGAAGAGGAGAGGAGAGGAGAAAGGGAAGAAGAGGGAAAGGAAGGGGAGAGGAGAAGAAGGGAAGAGGAAAAAGAAGAGATGAGGGAAGAGAAAGGAAAGAGGAGAGGAGAAGGGAGGGGAGAAGAGGGAGAGGAGTGGAGGGAAGGGAGAAGGGGAGGGAGAGGAGAAGAGGGAAGGGAGAAGAGAGGAACAGAAGGGAGAAGAGGGAAGGGAAGAGGAGAAGGGCAGCCCTTAGCTGGAGAGTGGGCGAAGCAAGAGATTCGAAAGATGGCAGCCTGGCAGGGTCAACCAGATAGATTTGCAATCAGATGAGTCGTCCCAAGGTGCTTTTTCCCAGGAGGCAACTGGACTTCCTGGTTTTTTTCTGAAGACGTTTCCCTTCTCATCCCAGAAGCTTCTTCGGCTCTGACCGGATGGTGGGGGAAATGGAAAGAGTTATACTCCTTGCAGACAGCCGGTCATTTGTCTCCTTTTAGAGGCCACTTGGAATGCAAAGGACCGGCTGTCTGCAAGGAGTATAAATCCTTCCCTTCCCCACCATCCAGTCAGAGCTGAAGAAGCTTCTGTGGATGAGAAGAGAAACGTCTTCAAAGAAAAACAAGAAAGTCCAGTTGCCTCCTGGGAAAAAACACCTGTGGGGCAACCAGGACCTGGAATGGCTGAGAATCTCCATAGATCAGGGGTAGGCCACCTTGGCTCTTTTGTGACTCGTGGACTTCAACTCCCAGAATTCCTGAGCCAGCATGGCTCAGCTTGGAAACCTCTCCCTTTCCCCTCAGCATGGCTGGCTCAGGAATTCTGGGAGTTGAAGTCCACGAGTCATAAAAGAGCCAAGGTGGCCTACCCCTGTCCTAAGTCCTCCTGTTCAAAGCGGTGAGCCTCCTAGACCAGGGATAGGCAACCTTGGCTCTTTTATGACTCGTGGAC